AAGGCAATCATTAATCACAGATTGTTCAAAATTATTTAGCTATTTAATAACTAAAAATAAACTTTTTAATGTCTTTTTGAAGTAGCCAGTAGCTCTCTCAGCGCAGCCTTATTAGTTTTAATTAAATTAGAATAAAAACAAAATATTTGAAAGTACACATGGAGGCCTGCAGAAAGGGGTTAAGCGTGTACTTAACTGCATAAAACAATTTGTAATCATTATGATTAACTACTTAGTAATCATCTATGTCTTCTTTCAATGATTTAATCGTTTTTTATGTGATCAATAATTTTCCCCATTGCTTAGTTAATCTTTATTAAGTGGTTAAAATATAGATCACTCCACCGAATTGGTTTAAAGTCAGAGGACTTTTTATTAGGACTGACTCAGACTTTGAAATCCATTATGTTTATTTTAACAAAACAAATGACTGAATATTCCATTTTGTCACTAACAAAACAATCATAACACTCCTTACATACATAACATCAGCATATGTTTCAGTAGTGACTGTTTTGGTAGTGACAATTTTAGCTCATTGTGAGCAGAACTTAAAATGCTAGCCTGTACATGACCAGCAAACACAGCTTTGAACAGATGAAATCATTATATTTTTCATTAAAACACAAACAAGTTTGCTTTATTAAAGAAAATGTGTGTTTCGGTCGTGACAATTCTTAATGTTACACACTGATTTTCAGACTTTGGGACACATAATGACACATAATTAAGATATTAATAGAGGCTTGATATTATAAAGTGTTCTAAATTTCTAAACCAATCCAATGGCCGGTGGAGGTGGAACTAAAAGTGGAATGGTTGGCCATCAACATTGTCTAATGGACAACAAGCCTGTCATTAGTCCCAAAAAACTTCAGTTAAGCATGTAGATGTGTGTACGGAGAACGCATTGAAGTAAATGCATGAAGTAAAAAGAAGCATTACAAGTCCATTGGCTAACAATAGCACTTCGCTAGCTAGCTTGTTTTCTCGCGTTATTGAATACTCTGGATCATAAAAAAGCACGGACTAGAGAAATTTGGGAGCGGGTTTAGAGGGGTTTTAGCATACCCCTGTTTGTAATGGATTTTGCTAGATCACGCGTTCTCGTGAGACTAAATAAACTTAAAAAGTCTATTTTTCACATTTATATTTATATTGTTACATTTATATTGTTCCATTGGTTTTGAAATTTTCACCCAAACATAAGCACAGCTAGCATTTTAAAATTAGAAATATAAATTTAAAAATAATTTGCAATTTTACAGTGAATGCTTTAATAAGTACTTCAAAACCTAACACTAAATATTAATAGAGAAGTCTGTTAGCCTGTTGGCTTCTGCCCAGTTGATAATCCTAGTTCCAGTTATGTAGGAAATAAGATTTGAGCAAATATTTGTAGGGTATGTTCGCATAACAAAATTTTTTTGGACAATTTCGATTCCATTCCGATCGCAAGATTATGAGATTTCGACTGTGATAAAATTAAAATCATTTCAAAATCAAGTTCTCTTAAAACGATTGTAATATTATCAATGTATATCAAGTTAAACACAAACACAACGTAAACCTTTTACACTGAAAATGATGATCATACATGTTTTGATGGTGATGGTGATTTATCATATGTGTGCTATAAAAAAAAATTACTCATCTAAGAATGTTTCCCTTAATTCACTCACCCACTAGTTTCTCTGCTCTGCTTACAGAAATCATCCTTGTGCTTCTCGTCGATTTATTCTGTGTGGGTGTGTGTGCTCCATGAACTGTGTTTGTACTGAGAGGGTACGAGACATGTGCCTATTTACTCCTGGGAGCGCGCTGACCGGCCTGCTGGAGTGTTCACACAGCTCCAGGGCATGTCACTGAGACTGATAGAGCGGCAGAGGCATGCAGGACGCAGCGCCTCCTCAACCTATCACACGATGATGCCTATTCCTAATTAAAGGCGGGCTGGCATGGCAATGCTGTTATGACTGCGGTGAAAGCGGCCATTTTTCAAAGGACCCTTCCGTGATGCCTAAAAGGCCTCTAGGGGAACGGCAGAGAGCGGAAGCCTCTCCACCAGCGCATCATTGATTAAAGAGGCCGACGAACTTCCACCTGCACCACGGGGAAAAAAGAGGACAAACAGGGCTCTTCCTTCTTTTCTCAAAGCATCCAAGCCTTTTCATTAACTGCTCTGTTTGCTTGTCAGTTCCTTTTTTAAGTTGCGGAGTGTCAGCTGTTTGGGCCAGCGCAGAGCTAGGTTAGGAGAGACAGTGACTGAATACAGATCTGAGAGACTCTATCCAGCTGGCTGTTGTGCTGAATATGAGCACAAGATGAATTTTAGCTGCACTGTTTCATACAACATCCAGGAAAAATGAGAACATCCAACACATCTTCAAACAGCCATGCGCATAAATGACTTGAACAATACTATAAAACAAATGCCTGAAACAGTTACTACAGCAATAAACCAGGACAGGCCACACTTTCCAGTGATTTTACCACAGCTATGGGGTGTTGTTTAACCACATTACTTACTCAAGTAAAGTTGAAATGGAGTAACTGCATTCGTACACAATTGCATTTCCGAAAGAAAAAAAAAATATTCTTAGTCCTTACATTTTCATTTAGACCTTTGAAGTTCTTTGAGGTTTCAAAAGAACATAAGACTTTTGTTTTTCCTGCTCCTCTGCATTCAATTATTTACTAAAGCATCCCCTGCAATTCTTATTAGTACAAAATGAAACTAATTCTAATTCATCTTCTAAGAAGAGGCAGACTAGCACTCTTTACTCTATATATATTCAAGTATATTCAAATTTAGATACTTTTTGTACTTTTATTCATGTATATTTTTGGCCCCATATTTTCTGGTCTAACATTTCACTTAAGTACCATTTCATTACACTTTTTAACATTAATAATAATGGCAATAAGCATTCTTCTGGCAAGAAGTGAGGTTCATTAGAATAGGCTATTGCTGCCGAACAACCATGGACTGCTTAATGAGGGCATGTGTTTTAAGTTGGGGGTGCTGAAATTTTAAGCGGCACATATGCAATGTGAACAAAGACACCGTGCTAAATTATTTGCATTTTTGAAATTTTTTGACACTTTACATCGAACAGAACACGTCATACTGCACTATAATGTGGTGAGAGATGACAATACATACATATGACTGGCACGTCAGACCGGTGATGCACATCATCTCTCTGCTTTCTCATTCTAGACAAACTTTATGCAGATTAACTGAGCGGTGACCAATCGGATTGTTGATATGTGGTGCGGTAATCAATTGTGTCACGCCAACAGTCACTGAGCTTTAACACTGAAACACACATTGAGCGGAAGATACAGTGGTTGATGAATGGTTATTATTATGTAAGATGATTTTTTTAAAAAGTATAAAAACATAATTAGGTCACTATGGGACAAATTGGTAAACGGATGGCTATTGTTGAGGAAAGTAATTCGGCCAGCTTTAATGAAAATGCGTAGTTAACTTAAAAAGTGCATGGCTACTGCAGGTTTTGAAAACATATTAATAAAAATAGAAGAATACAAATTTCTCTCAAAACAAACACGTGTAAGTCTTTGCTACAATAAAATTACTAAACAGTTTATATCTCTGTATTATTATTAATGTTTTAGTAGTTGCAGTCCTGACATCAGCATCTCCACTTCCTGTGTCCCCCCAAGAATGTTCAGCCTAACGTACATTGCAGTCAGTCTGTTGATTTTAAAAGTTGGGTAATATAATAATGAAAATAATAATTCACCTAATAATTAACTTTTACTTGACAGATTTTATTTTTTTTTCCTGCACTATGTTACCAAGCTAACAGTGGTGTACATTCATTTTCCCCACACAGAGCGTAATAGTACTTGGCAGATCCATAAAAACACAGATATTTGAAGCTATTTCAGTGAATCCTTCAGTAAACACTTCAATTCAAAGCCACTCTGCAAAATAATAATGGAACATAGTTCTTAAGGAAATAAGTTGTGAACCTCCCATTTAAGCAAAACATGGTTCTTATGCAAGTTATGTTTACAAAGCAGGAATTTTTTAAAGACATTTTGAATCATTAAAATTCTAATTATCATGAAATGGTCACACAATGTAAGGAGCAGCTGGATTTCAAACAGTGTAAAATAAAGCGTTGAAAATAAAAACCAGGGGGAAAACACTTACAAGGTGTTGATATAAAAGTGATGATTTAACATGCTAATTATTTGCTCATGTAACACTTTCACATCAATCTAACCCAGTTACACAACATCATGCACACACAATCAAGCTAATTATGCCCTATATGCTTGCTCTGTAAGAAGCAATAAGCGTTGAAAGCTACCCAGAATGCATAATCACAATGGCTATTGAGTAGGAGCAGGTCTACAGACAGGTTAATTGACCGGTTCTTCTGGAAATTCTTTCTACTTCAGAAGGCAGATCAGTTGGCATTCATCATACCCACATATATCCGCTTTCGCTGCCACTACTTTGCTTGCTGAGCTACACGTCTGTAGTCTTTTAAAGCTCCCCAAGAGTCTCCCACCCAGAAAAAATCAATCCGAACAAGGCGAAGCTGAGCTTACACACCCTGTACAATTTAAAACATGGGCATGGACAAGTGAGTGAGACTGGAGTCAATTACTGCACACGTCTACCGGGTTCCGTCAACATTGATTTGCTCGGGACTAAGATCTTTGCCTTAGCCTGCTTCCCTAATTGCACTGCCTCTGACCTTCTAATTACTGTGCTAGGGCTGCTTCAATGTGGTGCTTTGCACTTTCTTTGTTTACACTTATCCTCTGTGTTGCAAAGAGAGAGAGGGAATAGGAAACATCCACGGCATGAAAAATGAAGCCTTCTCTCTGTGAGCTGAAGCCACTTAAGATGAGATGCGGTACTCAGCAAAGGACAAGCTAATCATAACACTGTCATACATGCGAGGACGAGTGGTTATGGAGAATGTGGATGACAAAACAATAGAGAGACTTACCTGAAGCCGCTGTAGGGGTGCTTCCGAAGTCGGCCATGGCTTCGCTTGAGTTATCTCCACTTACTTTCCCTGTAGTAGTAGATGGCTGGCTCTCGGCAGGCAAAGAGTCCTGTCCGGGTGTTGTCCAGCCATGGCCTACCACAAATGACTCTGAAACCCCTGATCTGGACTCTGCCGGCTGGGAGGTTTCCTTGGCATCTGGCGTGGTCAGCTGAAGTGTGGTACTCATAGTCTCAAATCCTACATCGGTCACAGTTGTGGTGGGCAAATGTGTCTGCGGTTCATGAGTCTCTTCTTGAACCACCGGTAGCCAAGTAAAGGACATGATGGGATCTGTGGTGGATGCAAAATCTCCAGTTGTGGTGGCATCTGTAGTTGGAATCTGGTTGTTAATTGTTGTCATAGTGATGCTGCTGCTTCCATCTGTAGCACCTGTTGCTTCTGTAGAAAGTTCCGGGGTAGTGGCAGCAAAAGTAGGTTGGGTTTCAGAAGTGACAAGTGCATTCAAGTTCTGTTTCCTTCTGACCAAAGGTACCCTGACCTTGTTAAAAGGATCATTTCTGGTTATTTCCGTTGGACGACGCACATAGAGGATCTCTCCCCTAGCCTCAGCAGCAGCCGTGCTGTCCGAGTCATTCTGCTTGGGTCCAGAGATGCTGGCACCAGTCGGCCTAGCTGGTGGGTTCACAAGCTTCCATTGGACTGTGGTTTGCAGAACCACGGTCTGGTCTTCGGAATGAGTGGTACCTTTTATTTGGCTAGTGTTGAACAAGTCCTTCCCTCCACTTCCGTCAGTATCTTTCTCCTCCTCTGTGTTCCGACTTTGCAGAGAGGTCTGTGAGGGAGGACCCTCAGGGAGCGGATAACTCTCTTCAATCAGATCCCTCCCTTCCCCAGAGAAGTTCTCATGGTTATCCTGGGAGACTGGGATTGTCATGATCTCCAGTGCCCCTCTTTTGGCCTCCATTGGTCCACTGGTCTGGGTCATGAGGAGTCCGCTATTGCCCGAGGGTCCATGTCCTTTTAGAGACTTCAGGGCCCATCCCTGCTGGCTGCTCAGCACTGGCGCAGAGCCAAAACTGCTTATAGAACCCAAGGGACTGGCGGCAGCTGTGGGATTCACGGCTTCCATCAGTTCTGACGCAATTACTCCTGCAGGGATGACACCACACTGTGATTAACATTGCGAGGGGGAGGAGATAGCGTTATTTAAATGCATGTTTAATTAGCAAGCCAAACATGCCGCACCCTCCAAAACTGCAGCAATTAGCTTTAATGTATGCAGTACAGTAGACTCATTATCTATCCATCAGTTCCTTTAAGAGATCCTGACATTTATACAGGAGTTATTTCAAGCTACATGATCTCAGAGTATGCATTAACAACACATCTATTATCGAGTCTTGTCTGCCATTCAAATGACAAAGTTTGCACAGCTAAATTAACTTTTGTTTTGCTCATCCTTCATTACACAGTATGTACTATATTTTTTTCTCTCTGGAAGCTTTTTTCATGTAACAGGCAAAAGACGCAACTCGTTATTGTACTGGAGGAAATGATTTTGAAAGCAATTTCAGCAATAATTTCCTTAACTCTGCACTCGCACAAGCCTACTAAGAGACGAGGGGTCTGTTGCTTGCACTAATGCTCGTACATCATGCCAATATTCTAAAGCATTTTCTCTTCTTGCTGTCTGGATACTTAGTAAATCCTATATTAATGATACATTCATATCTCCATAAAACACATAATCCTTCAGGACGTTCTATAGCAGTGCGTATGTGTTAAGACTGCTTTTGTGCATCTGTTTGTGCGTTTAGCTGCTCAGCTAATCAGTGTGTGACAGCATTAAAAAGTAATGATGCTGCAAGGCCCAGAATGTTGTCATTATGGCGTTTCCAGTGACTCAGCATGAAGTAATGCTGCATTGCAAAACACTAAACAAATATTGCTGAAGAATGTCGAGTATACACAAGGGCTGAACTTTCTCAGTGGCCACAAAGGAGAGGATTTAGTCCTACAGGGCATTACACACAGTGGCTTAACTACTAGAGGTCTGATACCCAACAAAATATGCATCAAGCTTGGGCTGGGCTCGAGTTTATTTTCTAATTTGTTACTATGACTTTAAGACTGATATATGTAAATGAACTCTATTCTTATTGGCTGCCGTGTAATGTGGCACATTCAGAAAGGACTGCATGGGTGGGTGATGCCAAACTGCTGTAGGCTGGATAGGATATATGTAAATGAGTTGGTTCTAACTCAGCTTCTAAGTGTAACAGTCATTTATATCAGTGCACATATGAAGTTAAAAGACTCCTGCCTAGTAATAATTGTGAAAAAAAGACTACAGAGATTAACTTCAAAAAAATATATTGTGAAAACAGTATTCATCACTGTATAGGTCCCCTCATAGTCAGACTTTCCACAAGGGGACCCCCCAAGACCTCCACCACAATTCGAACCCTGAGGAAAAATAGAGCCTAATTGTAAACAAGCTTGATATTTGATTGCATGGCCACTCTTATTCCTCTCCCGCCCCTCCATGCCATGACTACTGGTGAAGTAACTCGCCGAAATATTAGTATGTTAGAGATTCAAGCTTGTTTTATTTTTAACCTGTTGATGTGTGGCCATCTGCGTTCGTGAAGCCCTATATAGATGGAGCCTATAGATCATTCTATTGAATTATTTCAAAAACACATTTGAAAACACATTTTAGACTTTCAATTGACTTGGACTTTAGACTAATTGGTCCTTAAACTGTTTTGGACTTTAGACTAAAATCCTTTTGCTTTGAGTGCTTAAGGATTTCAGTCTAAAGTCCAAGACAGTTTAAGGACCAATTAGTCTAAAGTCCAAGTCAGTCTAAAGACCAATTTTGCTTATGTTTATTTTATTAAAACAAATGATTGAACATTCCATTTTGTCACGAACAATACAATAAACATGCTTCCAAAACTTCACCAAATGTTTCAGAAGTGACTGTTTCACTAGTGACAATTTTAGCTAATTTTGAGCAGAACTTAAAAACAAAGTGTGTGCTAGCCACTACACTAGAAAACATGGCTTTAAGCAGTTGTACACACAAAATTATTAAAATTTCTCATTTAAACACACAAAAAAAATATTAATGGTAGAAAATATGCGTTTCGGTATTGACAATTCCTCATGTTACGCACTGATGTTCAGACTTCAAAACAGTGGGATCTAACTGCTCCCCGTGTGGCCATGAAGGACAGGGATGCAGTCGCACTTCCTCCTCTATGATTCATGAGTGTGGCTAAAATAAGGTTCCGCCTACAAACAAAACTCTCTGTATATTGGTAATAACATTGAAAATCAGGGACAGCATTTTCTAATTTTTTATTATTTTTTTTAAATCAAACTCACGATAAAAATGAGTTTTTTACTGTGGGACTGTAGTTTGAACTAATTATAGCCATGCTTAGCTGTGCCCTACAACATTAGCCTTAGGTCAAGAATATTTCACATTAGGGTTGTGCCATTTATTTTAAATGAAGACATCCATGGATAATTGAACTCGCTGCATAGGTAACACAAGCTGCCTTGAAGGCAACATGTTTCCTGGAGGCCACGTGCCGAGATATTCGCAGATTGCATGTTCCGAACGCATGATGAAATATTTAACTAATAATGAATTATTCAGTTTTCAGCGGTTACGCCGAGGCATAAACGCAGCACAATTTACATAGGCAAGTAATTGTCTAATTAAAGATATGAATAACTAATTAGCTACTTCTGAACACAGATTAAACACATTCGTCTGGCTTCCAAGACTGCCATATGATGATATCTGAGTCTAGAAGTTGGAAAAGAAAGGAAGAACCAGACGTATAAGATATAAATAATCACGCTCGCTCACTTACACATATGTTCCTGAGATACTCTACATGCTTTATTGAACCCTGGAGGCATAAAAACTGTAGGCAGAGAAAGCCTTCCTGAACATTTGCAATGCATTACAGAAGAATCCATGGCTGATCAAGGTGAAATCATTGTGCTGCATGCTGCGTTTGAATATCTTGCAAGGCTTCTTCTTCTGGAAGATGCTCAAAGAGGACTCTCTTTGAGAATTTGATCCATAATTCAAATGCTCTAGCCCTTGTGGAAAGGGTTTTTTTTTTTTCATTTTTCGAGAATTCAGGGCCAAAGACAGAGTTCGTAACATGCAGTCTCAGAGTGAAGCTTAAATTCTCCACAGCCGCTGTCCAATCAAACACAAAACAAGGCGAAAGGAGCCAGTGAAGGATGAAATAGCCACCAAAGCCCAATTTGGGCTGGCGAAAACTGCAACAACTCCCTGCAGCCGTCCTTTCTGGCACTTCTTCACTCAGTGCGCATGTTTGTGTGTGCGATAATCGCACCTTGCACCCAGCACTCTAATTGGAAGAGACCTGGAACGCTCCGGCTCAACTGATGGCTCGGCCATGGCGCATTAATTAGATCCGGATGTAAATAATGCATGCTGACTAAAGCTAAATTTTCACCCAGCATTAAACTTTAATGTCCCCCATTGAATACGGCTTGCAGCAGGAGGATATTTGTATTAATGCCGCCTCCAATGGAAAGTTGTGCTGAAATGTATAGAGCTAAAACCACATCAGTTTTAGACGCTCTCCAATCACAGCCTTAGGCTTAAAACATTAGCATTTTTTTTAAAAGCTTGAGGCTTAGTGATACAAGATGATATGCCACTTTGCCTGGGCAGCTATGACAGGAATTGATTCCCTGTTTTAGCCCTGAGGCGAGAAAGTAGGGAATATAGCATATCTCAATACTGTGACCTCTTTATCACCCCCCTCCTACTCTCTTCTTCTCTGAGAATGAAGAGTTTCTGAGAAGAAACCTCCACCTCCAGTGGCTGGGCTCCCTGGGACATCAACAGTTCACCCTGTTCATCAGAATGAAATCGATATACTTCTACAATATCTACACCTATTTTCTCATGTAGCCTTAAAATGGTATATTCAACTACATGAGTGCTGAAAAACTTCAAGTATTACTTGTTTATTGGAGTCCCCAGCTTCTCAGAGTAACAAGTGAACTCTAACAAGGAAAATCAACCTTGACCCCAGTCAGTCACTTAGTGGTGCAACACCCCACCAACTCCATCATCATGCCACACTTAAGTTATAACATATTATGGCTGTCAGAGTTAATATGTTAGTAATAACTTGATAAATTATTGATGCCAATTAATTTTTTCAGAGTCATTAATGCTTTTTCCTTTGGAACCATCTGTAGTAGTGCAAACTGAAGGCCAGCTTTGCAAGCTGAAGCCCAAATACAGCTTTTTAAACGGCTTTCAAAGTAGTACCTTCAGCAGACTACAATGGACAGTGTCACCAGGTCACCTATGGACAAATCAGTGTGCAACAAAATAACAAAAGCAACAGCAAAGTGGAAAGTGCCAGTTCCCCTCAAGAGCTTTCACTGTATTAAGAGTCCCTGAATAACAGTGAAAGGCTACAATCATGGAGAATCATAAGAAACATGCAGCCACTGCTGCTCTCACTGGATCTCAGTGACATAAATTGGAAACTGTGTTCAGCCTATTGATATTCATGTTCAGGTTCATTTGATGATGAAAATAATGTTATTGAATCATTGAAAAGCAACAAACATATTGATTATGATGCTTTTTGTGTACTCATGTAACTATTACCAATTGCTCTGCTTTTTAAATGGAAAAAAATGTTTATGGTGAAATTTCTGCAGGTAAGACAAATGTGATTAATCATGATTTATCAAGTTAATCATTTGGAGGCCCTATGAAATATATAAACAATATATCTGAAAGAGAACTTATGACCAATTTTATGGAATTTTGCTATGTTCTTCAGACATTCGCTCTGATTAATTTAGGTTCTTTAGCCTCTTGGTTATTTAGCCAAACCAGATGCAGTGATGTAACTAGCCGCAGCAGAGCTGACTCAAAATATTTTATTATATCATCAACTTTAAGCTAAATTATAATTAGATACTTGTGCGGACTATATGATGTTCTTCTCTACTCAGCTCCTTTAAAAATAGCCTTGAACCATTAGTTGATTCTGTAGCCAGCACATTTTTGCCTGTCTTGGCTTTATCTGTTTTTGTTTGCATGCATGAATGTGCATCGCTACTGTACATGTATATCACTGTGCAGAAGTCAGAAACCACCTTTAATTTATTTAGTCCCCTAAAATCCCAAGCTTATTACATACTGAGGCTCATCGTTCAGTAACTACATGGACTTTAATGCAAACTGACTGCTCTATCCTTAGGTTACAGAGATGTGTAAAACTGCCGGTGGGCCCTGGCCTTTTCAGCGGTTAATTTCCAGTCAAAATGGCCGAAAAGTACACGTTATTTCTTTCTCAGGACATATTTCTGAAAATATTAGTTAAGAATCCACTTGCATAAGGAAGAGAAAAGTTAAAGGAAAAATAATGAAAAAACAGGAGATTCCAAAACTGGATATCAAAAGTGATTAAAAGATACATAGAAAATGAAACTCCTAACAACCATGCAAGACCTGGTAGACGCCAAAACTGTCCCCATCAGATAAACAGCACTTAAAGCTTTCATCTCAGAGAGAGAGGAGAAAATCAAGGTCCACTTAATTGTTTCTGTCTGTCCTTCCACTGTGAGAAGACACCTCAATGATATGGGTCTGAAAGGATATGTAGCTGTCAAGAAGCCTCACTGAGAAAAGGAAACAGACAAAACAGAAGAACACTTGCAAATCAAGCTAAGAAGCTGCTGGTGTTCTAAGAACAATGGACTGGCCACCCCAGAGTCCAGATCTCAACATCACTGAATGTGTTCGGGATTACTTGGACAGTAAGAAGTAAAAAATGCAACCAACTTCTAAGACTGAACTTTGGAGGTGTGGAAAAAAATATCCCTGCAGATTTCTTTGGAAAACAGAAAGTCTCCTGAAAAGAATGAAAGCTGTAACAGGGACAAAAGTGGACAAACTGGGAAATTACTGTGTAATTTTCTGTTAAGTTTATGTTGCTCTGCCTTGTTACTGATGCTGAAAAATGAACTTGTATTTAATGGCTGGTTTGGACTAAATGAAAGGTGGTCTTGGACTTCTGCACATTACTGTGTATCGTAGGTTCCTCTGCCTTTTTTGTGTCGCCCGTGCTGTGTGGTTTTCAGATGACTCGCTCATGATTTAGTTCTGCCGCTGGGGCTGATGAAACACCAATCTGTACCGTAATATAACCTGACACACTCTGTTCTTCCACTCAGCATGCTTCAGAAAAGAAAAAGCTCTTACCGTTAAATGGCACTGCTTGTGAAATCGAAGGCTCTGTCTGGGCTTTACTTTGATTCTTCAGGTCATGTCCAGGGATGGTCAGAACCACCTCTTTCTCCTGCTCCAAAAGCCCTTCCTCTGAACTTAGTGTGGAGGGGTTAGTTGAAGGTTCTGCCCGCTTAGGCTCCAAGACAGCATTATCAGTGCTTCCTTTGCTTGCCGTAAGTCCAACACTAGGCTTCATCCTGGCTGGCTTGACCACTTCTGACGTCTCCTTTATTAGGCTTGACTCCGTCGAGGAGGCCTCCATCTCTCCATTCCCCGTCCAATACCTCAAGGGCTTCATGATGGAGTTGACAAAGTTGTATAGGACACTGTTGCTAGTCTGAGCTTGTGTGGATGAGGATGGCGTGGTCAAGGAGGGGTCGGGGGACAGGCTGTGACCCTCAGTCGCTTCTCTCTCATCGGGCTCCTCTCTGGCTGAGCCCCCTTGGAGGTCCACCTGGTTCTCCAGAGCGGGAGGAGATCCATCTTTGGTGGCATCCTCTCCCCAGTGCACTGACCTCTCTCCAGGCTGGAGATGGATCACCACATGTTCCTCGGAGATCTCAGAGGACTCGTTGTCTGCGATGGAGTTGAACTCTTCCTTATCCAGGTCTACCAGGCCGGTCCAGGTGGAGGGCTGAGGGAAGGCTCCGTTTTGCTGGAGCTGCTCCCAGTCATCTGTGGAGTTTGAGCTGGAGGCCTCAGAAGTCTGCAGAAGTGCTTTAGCTTCTGTCTCTGTAACATATGAAGAGATAATGTTAACTGTAAAATGATCAAAAAATGATTGACAATAGCAAAACAATGAAACACAATATATCAGAGGATGCTAGTGACACAAAATGCGCTTTAAGGGGTTAATTATTGCTCATGTCTGCTATTATTGTTTAAGTAAAAAATAAGAATCCATGTTTTTTAAGCTCACTGTTTCCATTTTATATAATTTCCTGCAAAGCCTTCATTTTAAGCTAATAATTTTAAACCAATAGTCTGTAGCTCCCCAATATTGTAGAACCCACACCAGAATTATCATGTGTCATATGAATATGGAATGTTTGTAGAGGAGTATAGACTTATTTTACTGCTGTAGAGAGAAGTTTATCTAGTAAGAGTGAAAGCCATTCAGGTTGAGCACAAGGGAGTTAATATATATATTTTGTTGTTTTTAAAGAACAGATATCTGAAGAAAACTTATTGATATATATATTGATTAATGTTAAGCAGTTGTGATGATGAATATTAATCTAAACATGGCCTACACTTGCTCATGCAGCCCAGTAGTTTTTTTATATGGAGACCTCATGACCCTAGATCATGACCTTTTAACAATGCAAACCAAACCGCAGCCCACAGAGGTTTTTACATACTGGTAGACGAGCTGGGGTGGGGGATAGGGGGTGATGAAGCCACAACGCACATGATTAGCCTATATTTTAGGAAAACTGACAATTCTGTTACATCAGCTAAGAGATGCCCGTTGATTTTTGGTTGGTTTGCAGCCCCAATAAAAAGTTCAAGTGTGAATGTTGTCAATTTCTTCATTTTTTGCTTCTTTAATTATGCTATAGCTGTTGAAAGCAGACAAAAGCAACCTACATACACATATGAGGCCATACAGAGATGTGACGTAGGTTGATTTTATTAAAATGCTTATACTGAGACCTGGAGCCAGACCACAGCCTGATGGTTGGGACCCTCTGCTCTAGATCATCTGTGATGGCAAGCCTAACCAGTATATTTGATCTGGATACCATCTTCTGCTATATATGTCTTGGCCAGAACAGGGCAGACTGAACTTTCTGTCCTTTTAAAATGAAACACAGGGAACTGGGATAAAATGTTTATATTTTCATCAAGGTATAAACAATGTAAATGTGTCCTCAAAGGTACAACAGTGGTCTTAAGGTCCAATTGTGCACCTTAAATAGGTTTTTCCAGGTGAAAAGTACATATTTGTACCTTTTTCATAATCTAATGTTTTAAAACAGAACAATAAAATAAAAGCCTGGAGACGAGACGGGGTGTGTGGAGTCAGTACAACTTAGAAAATATAATTTCAGTGGATTGTGGTCCAGTTATGTTCCCTGACTAAAGATACCCTTGAGGGTACCACCCCAGTGACAAGAGGGGGACTGCCCCAGTGACAGTTTCATACCTTTTTTCTGAGAGTGTATGGGTGGAATGGTCACTGCTCTTACTTGCTTTTGATGTCGTTGTCCAACATAATGGCACACTTAAAATAACCAAACTAAAAGCAAAACTACAAAGCAGCTTCCTAAAATACTTCAAAAAAGGAAAAGTAACACAGTCCTTGTCAGAGAAATCTCAAATGCCTTTCATAGTTGGCTTAAGATAGCAAAAAAGGACTGTGCTATTATAATGATGTGTATGTGATGTAAAAGAATTCTATATGAAAAAAAAAAATCAGGCCAGAAAATTTGTGTGGCTTCTCCAGCACATGGTCAGAAATTGCAGTGGACCAAGCACTAGAGCACTGGTTTTCAACCTGGTTTTCAGAGCCCCACATTTTCCTTCATCTCTACGCGTTGCGAGTTGGATTGGAGCAAAATGTGGCCCTTGTGGGGGGCCTTGAGGACCATGTTGAGAAGCACTGCAGTAGTCCTTTATAGGAATTTAAGAATTTGATGAGAAATTTGACCCTCAAATTGGTGGTGTACCTCGGTAGCAGTAGGCGTCGAACAAGTTGGTGGTCTCAGGGAAGCCAGTTCGGTTTGGGTTGTGGTAAAGTGTGCGGACCCCTGGCTCATCCCCACCACAATTGCGCCGTGGCTGATTAATGGGGTAGCGCACGCTTCCATCAGCCAGCCAGCCCGGGTCACAGCGGTCCAAGCCGGCCTGCCAGGCCAGGAAGAGCTGCCCCACCGTGGCCAGCTGAGCACCCAGCGTGTGGCAGTGAGTGGAGGCTGTGGCCAGACTCAGCTTCTCTGGCATGTTGGTGTGGAACACCTCACCTGGAAAAAAAGGAGGTGGATTACACATGAGAGAATACTGACCTAAAATGAGTGGACTCTGGTACATTAGCTAATAGATGCCTAAGCTAAGTGAGTGATGGGGGGAGAGCGAGGGACATCAGAGAGAGCAGGGTCTTCCTGGCCATGGATGGCTGTGCAGTCAACAGGGATGATGACAGAGTGACAAGTATTTTTATCAATAATAATGTCCAAAATACAGAACTTGCTTCCTAGTCGTTCTGTGAAAAGCCAGTCTGACCTGTTTGTAGACTCTTGCAAATGCATTTTGAGTAAGTCTAGTGAATCACAAATAAGCATTCTCTATCTTAATACACAGGAAACAGCACAGTATCTCAGTAGTACATGACCAAACAACTCTAAAAACTGCTATTTTTAGATAAAATTTCTCTTTAAGGGCATGAAATATGACGTTTAAAGTAAAATCCTGGTTTTGCATATTATTTCAAAAAACACTAGTGTACAATTTTGAGCTGAATACCAGGTGAAGTCATGGATCGAAGCAATCAGCCACATATAACACATAACTATAATGCAACCACACATATCACGTACTTAATGACAGCTTTAAATAACCAACTTCAGATGAACAGTCATCACCAGTCAGAAGTCAGTTCACCACAAAAGGCTCTATAAAGCAGGAAAGGCTTGCATACTACGGTGACAACAATGTATCAAGCACTAAGCACTATACCTAAAAAGCTTTATTACATTGTGTTCTGCATTACCATTTTGTTGAAGGACTGTCTTTTTTGTAGGAAATAACCCACAGACAATGTACTCAGGGGGTTTTCCAGTAAACTGTGAATAGGACAATCTTGTTACAATGTACCCATTCTGGCATGAATAGTGGCGCAGGGCTGAAAAGATGGTGACCTAGTTTGATGCTCGGTACTGGGAGCTGGGACAGAAACAGGTACATGAAACTAGCGTGTCTGGCCCATAGCTCACACACCTTCATTCAAAGCAGAGAGTTAAAGTGGTCAAATTTACACAATTTCCCCCTTATCTCAAACATAGTCGATCAGCCATGAGTCTTAAGTTTGCTTCTTTGGGTTTTTACTGGAACTATGAGGCTAAAGTAGCTAACTAGGAGGGGTGAAGAAAATGATAAATTCTTATGCTCCGTCTGAGGAAAATTTCCAGTATTTTCCATACAGCTTAGAGTACTAATATAATACAGGCAACTATAGCTAAACTCATTGTGTTTATGTCTTTTTTTTTTACATGTAAAGCATGTGGAGGTGGCTTGGAACTCACTGCTTTGGTACACACTAAAGGCAGTCAGAAGGTTCCCCAGTAGGAGACAATATTGGCACACGTCATTTTTGCGGGTGTCAATTAAAGTGAAGAAACAGCTATGAACCCACACCAGCAGAAGCTTACACATGCATGTGTTTGCAGTCACATCGTTCAAAATGAGAGGTTAATTAGTTTTCAAAAAATGTGTTACTCTGCATTATATTATTTAATGTGTGATTTTCAAATCAATTAATGTTCAAAAGTATATGCCCTAAAAATAGAATTGAAATTGGGGTGGCAGGAAGTGATTTAATCAATAATTACTGTTTATTTTCAGCAAGAAAATGTCATTCTAATTATTTTTAGATATTGTTCAGGGATATACTTGATACTCTGATTCAAAATAAACACTATAAGCTTAGGAAACCCCTTAAGGTAATATTGTAATTAATTTTTTATAATGTATGATGTCAAATTACTATACTGAGGCTAAAAATTACTGTATTGGGGCCACAAATTACTATATTGAAGGCACAAATGAATATATTGAGCCCACAAGTTAAGTTTCTCATAACTCATGGCCTCAATATATTAATTTGTGGGCTCAATAAAGCAATTCATAGCTTCAACAGAGTTATTTGTGGCCTTAGTATATTAATTTGTGGCTTCAATATAGTAATTTGTGGCCTCAGTGTAGTAAATTGTGACATCAATATAATAATCAGTGCCATCAAAATTGTAATTTGTGGCTTCAATATAGTAATTTGTTGCCTCCATATAATAAACTGTGGCCTGAATATACAAATTTGTGGCCTCAATATAGTAAATTGTGACCTCAATATAATAATCTGTGCCCTCAATAAAGTTGATTTTAATTTTAGCCTCAATATAGTCATTGTTAGCTTTAATATAGTAATTTGTGGCATCAATATAGTAAATTGTGGCCTCAATATAATAAACCGTTGCTTGAATATACTAATTTGTGGCCTCAATATAATAAACTCTGGCCTGAATATACTAATCTGTGGCCTCCATAAAGTACATTGTGACCTCAATATAATAATTTATGCCCTCAATATAGTAAATTGTGGTCTCAATTTAATAAGCTGTGGCCTGAATACACTAATTCGTCACCGCAATGTAGTACATTGTGATCTCAATATAGTAATCTGTGGCCTCAGTATAATAACTTGTAGCCCCAATATATTAATTTGTGGCCATGCTTTATTAAAAAATAATCATCGTGTCAGGGGCTCCATAATAAACTATACACAAGATAATATGCAAGGTAAAAAAAAGATATCTACATTAGATGGTGAAACAAGATATTTAACAAGTGGACAGACTTTAAGCTGCACTCAAATTCAACCAGGCTAACAGTATTTGTTAATCACAAATACAGGACAAAATCATAATGCAGACTATAGAAATCAAAAAATGGAGATGCATCAACTTGGGTCAAAAATTGTTTTAGAATTGCATCTTGGCACCCTGAACCGAAATTGAATTGAGAGATGGATATTTTGCATAGCTAAAAACATGAGATCCTGAGTAACTATAAGCTTCCATTGCTTGTCAGCCACATTAACCTTGTTACTCCATCCAAAAGGCTAAATTTAGCCATATTGCCACTTTCAAGAAGCAACTTTTTGAAAGTCTATCCGCTACCAAGCTGTACTTAATGCTCCTGTACCTCGCAGGCTCTCTGCAAAGCAATAGACGTCGAACAGCTCATCGGGAGCACGAGTGCCATAGTTTCTCACGCCAGGTGAGTCTTCCCGGTCACCATAGCAGCCAGGCCTGGGAGACTGGATTGGATACCTGTGAAGAGACAGCCAAAGAAAAAAGCAACCTTCCAATTAGAGGAGAGATGGAGAGAGAGAAAGAGAGAGGTTCTCAGCTCCAACTGTGCAATTTACTCCACAACACACCAATTCAAATGCGGCTGAGGTGCAGGCTAAAGTCTGATTAAGAGATATTACACAGCACTCCAGGGTTTTAGAGAATGGCAGCTGAAAGGGATCTCACGCATTTAGCAGCTATTGCAAGCAGTTTCATCAAGCCATTAAAACAACCCACATATTTACTTCTGTTATGAAATCTCCAACGTCTCTGCACGCTTGCTGCATTAACCGGACATTTGGGTAGTCACTGATTTACTGCCAAATTCCTCAGGAGATGGCTCAATTAGAGCTTTTCCAAGAAGGCTGCTCTTAGTTTTGCCTATCGAAAGCTGTGTTTTTCAACCCAATTACTGACCGACCATATGTGGTAGACATGAGCGTCGCTATTAGAAATGAGTGCTAGTCTGACTGTCAGCTGCATGTTGATGGGACTGCAAGTGGCAAGCTCTTCGATGTAGTGGTACTGAGGCGCGCAAAGCTGAGATGAGAGAGCAACACGAGGCCGATAAACAGTCCAAACAAATACTGTTATTTTATTGAGCCAAACATACTTTGCATATTTGCATTTGTCTTCTGTATCAGGCAGCAAATGCGAGAGTACAGAATCAGCGTTTCTATTCAACCATATGTTTACTAGCAAAAAGCATCTATTTCAGCTGTATTTGCTATATTGTAGACCCATAAACTGATTCTGGAGCTGCATTTATGATATGGTACAATACAAAACCATGAAAACGTTGCATTTCACGCTGTGTTAACTTTGGAAAAAGGTGCCTGCAGGACTTTACCTTACGGTCTGGTCAGAGAGCCAGCCTGCATCACAGTTGTCATAGCCATCATCGAAGGTGGCCTGCAGCTGGCCAGGCGTGGCGATCGCAGCAGAATTCTCCACACATACCCGCTTAGCCTCGGGGAAAGAGAGCGCGTAGCGGTCATGAGGGGCACGGTAGTGGAAGACCACTCCTGTGGAGTTCATGAGGTAGAGAATGAAGAAGATTAGGACTACACTCTTAAAAAAGATGGTTCTGCAAGGGTTCTTTTGTACAGATAATGGTTCTATGCACAACTATGAACACTCAAAGAACACTTTGCACGATTCCCTGCATCATCAAAGCCTTCTTTACATTGATGGAGAATGTGCTGTAGATGGTTTTGTATAGAACCTTTTCAAAAAGGTTCTATATAGCACCCAAAAAGGGTTCTTCTATCATAACAAGCTTGATATTGTAACGATAGAAGAATTGTTTTTGGTGCCATATAGAACCCAAGATGGTTCTTCAAGGGTTCTTTTGTACAGACAATGGTTCTATATAGAACCATGAACACTCAAAGAACGCTTTGCATGATTCCCTGCATCGTCAAAGGTCACATTCTTAGTTCTTTAGTACAGAAAATGGTTCTAAATAGAACCTGAACACTCAAAGAACCCTTTGTATTATTCAAGGGTTCCTTTCATTGTCAAAGGGTTCTTCACATTGATAGAGAATGTGCTGTGGATGGTTCTATATAGAACCTTTTGAAAAAAAGGATTCTTCTATCGTAACAAGCCATTGTAACATGACATTGTAATAACAGAAGAATCCTTTTTGGTGCTATATAGAATCCTTTTCAAAAAGGTTCTATATAGAACCATATACAACACATTCACCAACAATCTGAAGAACGCTTTTGTGATGTAAAGAACGCTTTAATCATGCAAAGATTCATGGTTATATATAAAGCCACCATTTTCTTTTCTAACAAAGCTTTGAAGAATCTTTTTTAAGAGAGTAGAAGACTGAAAGCTACCCATCTTACACATTCAGATGATCATAATTTAAGTTAATAAATGTGTCTGTTTATGCATAATTATAACTTTTATAACTATAACGCACCAAAATGTGAACACAAACAAAGGATATAGACAACAATGGCACAGATTTACTTAGAGTGGCAGCAACTGGTGATGGTTTACAGATAATCTGCGCTGGTGGGGGTGGCCAGTTTAGCAGGTTAGTTACTAAGACAGCACGACGTCTGGATTAATATATAACCACCATAATATAAACCCTCACACTGCTTTTGCATTAAAGCCCTTTTTTACCAGATAAGAAAAAAGAAATTGTAACTGGTTTGCGACAGTTTGTTCTCCTCTCTGTTTCTATCCATACTTTTACTTTTTACTTTGATTTTTAATCCAAAATAACTCGTTTTTACAATTTTTTGACCTAGTATGTCAAAATAATGAGATATTACTATTTGAAAAAGTATAATTATATTGAGATAAGAAGTCATTTTTGGAGAAAACAAAAAATGCGGCCTGTGTAAAAGTTCTATTCTATGCTTTATTTTTTTCCAATGTTAAAGTCGGCAAATAAACAGAAATTCTGCTATAATCTCTGCATAAAATTGCCATATTGAAGTTCGACAGCACATGTAATTTGGCTGGGGAGGTATTCAAACATTTGCCTATGACTGTATGCCTCCTGAACATTTCTATTTGCCTGCCGATGTACAAATGAACTGCTGTGAATGTGCTCTATCCTGCTCCCTCGAGGAATCTCCACTGCGTTTGTCTCCTGCATCCATCTCCAATCCCCCCCTCCCCGCCCCACCAATCCTCAGAGAATGAGACAAAGAGAGAGTGAGCATGGAGAGACAGTGCAGCGAGGAGGAAAAAACTAAAACAGTGTGAAGTGTGAGCCGGCGTCCCGGCGCCCACACCCTGACCCACGGGCGCATGGGCTTCCACTCCGCTGTGCAGAGAAATGAGAACTGGGATTGTATTTTGAAGTGTCCATCTGCTGTTCCTGCACCGTATCGGCCAGGCACCACCCCCCCTTCCTCAAACCTAGCACAAAAAAAAAAAATCACCTCTCAGAACTCCTCTCCCAGCAATTCCCACCTCCAGTCCCAGGAGAACACACAAACATGAAAGGGACGAGGGCAAGGAGACCAAGCCTGCATCTTCTAAATGGTTCCTTCATCTTCAGGAGCTCAAAATGTAGGGGGAGTGAGAGGAATTCTCAAGGCTGAAGTTTGGGGAGGGGTGGGGTACAGGCAGTGCAATTTCAGGTGGAATGCTTGAGGCATTGCCTGGAAAAAAAAAGACCCTATTCCTTGGAGGGAGGGACGCCCACTCTCTTTCCCTTTGCTCTCCATGCCAGTTCCCAGTGATAGACTACTTCAAAGAGATGGTTGGGGTGGAGGCAACCCTTTCATTCCCTCTTCCGCTTTACTTTTTCCCCATTTCTGAGCCCGGCTTCCTCTGTAGCTCCGTTTTCCTAGGAGGACAGGAGCACTTCTGAGCTCAGAAAAGATGTTCACTGTCTACGACAAACATTGGGGGATACTTTATATGGGGCCTGCGGTCCGCTGAGAGATAGCACAGTCTTGTTAAAAAAGAGGGTCATGGCACGTACAGCTTGCTTTCTGAAGTCATAATGCTAGTAAGCGCGTGGGTGGAAACCAAGTATGAGCACTGTTGACTGCCCTAATTAGCTCACAACAGCAGAGGCTTCGCAATTACAGGCCTAAAGATGACAAAAAAGGACAACATTGTCTTGTTGGTTTTATTTTAGTCAAAGACGTTAACATTAGCATTAACTGCACACTTAAAAGAGGTGGTTCTTCAAGGGTTCTTCAGTAAAAGCAATGGCTGTAGAATGGTTCTTTGCATGGTGAAATGGTTCTTCAGTTTGATGGAGAACATGATTACTCTCAAAAATGATAGTTCTTCAAGGGTTCTTTACTAAATTTTATAAGGAACCATGAACACTCAAAGAACCCTTTGCATGGTTAAAGTGTTCGTTGCATCATGAAAGGGTTCTTCAGATGGATGGAGAATGTGCTGTTGATGGTTCGATATTGAACGTTTTTGAAAAACGTTCTATATAGAACCATCTACAGCACATTCTGAACATTTCATGATGCAAAGAACCCTTTACTCATGAAAAGGATTTTTTGAGTGTTCATGGTTCTTTACAGAACTATTTTCTTTACTAAAGAACTCTTAAAGAACCATTTTTTTTTAAGAGGATATGGTATATGGTTCTACATAGAACCATATTGAAAAAAGTTCTACATAGCACTAAAAAGGAGTCTTCTATTGTTTTGAGTCCCACTGGTACAGCATGGTGCTATATAGAACCATATACAACACATTTTCCATCAATCTGAAAAACCATTTCACAAAGCAAAGAACCATTTAAACAAGGAATGGTTCTACATAGAATGCATGGTTCTAAAAGAACCATTGCCTTTCTAAAAAGCCCTTGAAGAACCATCTTAGCGCATGCAGCACATTGACATCAGCAGTTATTGGATAAGTTGTAACTGAGATATGCTTTTAAAAATAAAGGTGCCATAGAAGAACCACTTTTGGTTCTCTAATAAAAACCTTTTAATGGATGTTTTAGAGAACACTTTTTGTTAAAAGAACCTTTAAAGTTTGAATAAGGACCTTTAAATTGGTGCATAATGGTTTTTCACACTTGCTTTCAGTTTTTCAAAGAAAACTTTTTTTATTTTTCCACACCTACGAGGTTCAGTCTTAGAAGTTGGTGGCATTTTCTGCTTCTCATGATCCAAATAATCCCAATTACATTCAGTGATGCTGAATCTGGACTCTGGGGGGGTCAGTCCATTATTTGGAAAACACCAGCAGCTTCTTTGTTTGATTTGCGAATGTTCTTCTTTTATGACAGCTACACATCCTTTCAGACCCACAGTGCTGAGTTGTCTTCTCACAGTGGAAGGATGAACAGAAACACCTGTGAATAATTTCAGATCTGAAGCAGCTTGATTGAGTGCTGTTTTTCTGATGGGGGCAGTTTTGGTGGTCTAGCGGGTCTTCCAGGGGGTTGTTAGGAGGCCCATTGTCTCTGTAGCCTTTAATTTTTTTTTAAACTCCAGTTCTGGAAACTCCTGTTTTTTCACTCATTTTGCTTTGACCTTCTTCTTTATGTAAGTGGATTCTTGTGTTTAATCGCCTCAGAAATATCTTCTAAAAAATGAACTACTTTCTACAGTTTAACGTTATCCTGAAAAAGCGTTCATTCCCAGAATTCATTCAATATTGATACTGCCTAGAGATAGTGACTTTGGTTAATTAATGTTAAACTATCTTTACTGTTCTGTGGGTAGTAATGAAGGCTGAGCTGTCAGGATTAGCGGTAAAGGGATAACCTTTTCTTTAAGCAGAAGGAGCTTTATGCTCTGCTATTAGATTCCTCGTATGGATGAATCTCTAGAGCTCTTGAGCATCTTAAAATTCATGGAGGTTTCTGCGACTTAGCTTTTCATTGTTGAGTTCTTAATACTGTGGGTTATGTTCGGGGTCAATTTAGCTCATCCCTGTGCTTTCTCTCTTACAGCTTTGCATTCCTAAAAATGCAGAAAACACAGGTTTGGGCTCGTATCGATGTGTAACACCAAATACTGATTAGGCTTTTGTGTGTCCTTATATAGTAATTTCCAGCAAGCATTGCTGAATGTGCTAAGTTTGTATGGCACAGTGAATATTTCTAGTTAGACGCCGCTAAGGGACTTTTCTATTCCTGTTCAGTATTTTTTACATATATAGCAGCTAATTCATAGTATTTTTCATCTTTTCACATAAAAGGCTATAAGAGAGAAATCAAAACACACTGGACCGTCACAGCTTTGCTGGAAATTGTTCTGAAATGGCAGATATGGAGGAAAACAAATCCTACACATGGGCTACTGTGGTATAATTATAGTAATTTTACAGATGGAATAATGCCTAGTAGTCACAGCAACAACTGTAAGTTTATTACACCTTGAGGGCATGCTAAATGATAGTTAATTACGAGGCCGCAAGGCTAAAAGCAAGCGTGCTTTTACAGTAAGCAGAGGACGAGACAAAGTAGGTCAGAGATCCCCTGTACAGTCCAGCTGGTGCTCACTTTTTCATGACCTGTAGGAACCCCATGGCAGAAGGCTTGCATCATTTCATGGACAAGGACGGACATGTGCATTAGCATTCCGCGGCGCTGCCTTACCTGTGACCTGGAGGGGCACCGTGTCTTGTTCGTCATTAATGCCCACCACCACCTCGCAGCGGTACATGCCCGAGTCGCTGGATCTCAGACCCGTCAGCGCTAGGCTGGCGTTGTAGCGGTTGTCCGGGTAACCAGGCAGGGTCACGCGACCCTGGAAAGCCTTCTTCACCTTCACCACGTTGCCTTTAGCCACCAATATGGACTGCTCCCTCTGCAGGCCGTCCAGCCCGCGCTGGCCCCACACTTTGGTCCACTTGATGCGGGGTGCCTCGTGAGAGGGGCTGGGGCGTAGGGTGAAGATGCAGGGCAGCAGGGCCGTGCCAGACAGCGGCACCTGGACAGTGCGGTGGGTCACCTTCCTCATGTTCACTACAGTGTCGCCCCATACCGTGTCTGAGGATAGAAAGGAAGGACAAAGTGATGTGGGTTATTTGGTTTCATTTTTCAGCTCAAAGTTTGGGGACACTTTGCTTTGACATTTGACTTTTCTCCCTGTTATTTTGCGGTTAATCCTCAGAAGTTGCAGTTATCACCAACAACAGCCTAAGCATGGTGTGATGGTTTCTCAATCAATGTTCATTAAAACAAGTGAAGAAATCTTGTCAGAAGTGTAGACCCAAACTTTCAATCCATAATACATTTGTGGGTCAAGCAAAAGAGGTGGTATTATTATGATTTGACTCTTGTTTTCTGAAAAGAAAAAACATTTTTGCCCTTTTTTTGGCAATTTTGACATTGAAACAAATGGAAAAGAGCCAGAAGAGCACACGCAATACAGAATGTAATATGATATTGACACAGAACATAAACTCAGTGTAAATATAATTTCTTACCACATAATTAAAAATGTAATTACACAATGTAAGTAATAACTCTGACATTCTAAGGATTAAGCGAGAAAATTTACCTACCAAGGATCTGGAAACAAGGATTTGAATTTGTTAATCCTTTGAGTGTATTAACTTCACTGTTCAGCTTCATGTTCATTAATGTGTCTTCCTTGGTATGAAGGGCAGATTTTGCCTATATAATGATTTGGAGTGTCTGTTTGCACCAGGCTGCAGGCAGCTTTTGCCACCATGATTTGACAGTTAACTTGTCCAAACTATTGTTGAATGCACATATTGAATGCAGGGGCAGGGCTAAAACAAAGCTCCGCCTACAGACTAAAACTCTGCGTTTCAGTAGTGACATGCAGGTTTTTTTAATTAAAAATAACTTTTGGTGGTTTAAACAGCTGAAATTTTTGAGTGTTGCTATCACAACAAGTGGATAAAATAAACAACCCGTGGCTTTATCCCAAGGTAGGGCTTTTGTCAGATGTTCCTCCAGTTTTGTAGGTTTTGTAAAGGAAAGTGGTAAAGTCTAAAAACCTTTCAGGTGTTTAAACCCCCTTTAGTCCCATAGAGCTTAATATCTGCTTTTAACAATAGTTTGAAAAACAAAGCTGTCAAATCATTATTTAGGCAAAACCTGCTCTTTTCATCAAGAACGACACTTTGAACATGAAGCGTGTTAGAAAATACACTATCTACTCTTATTATTAAATACATTATTTACTGTTGTACATATAGTATTTATTCATATATGGATCATTCTACCTAATTTTAGACTTTTAAACTAAAATCCTTTTGCTTTAGGTGACCCAATATCTTAATTATGTTTATTTGGTCACTAACAAAACAATCATGAAGCTACTGAAGCTTTACCAAATGTTTCAGTAGTGATAATTTTAGCTCATTTTTGGCTTACCCCAAAAACGCTAGCCGGTACATGACTAGCAAACACAGTTTTAAACAGTTGTACACACATAAAATTATAATATTTTTCATTAAAACACAAAAAAGCTTACTTAATTGCAGAAAATATGATCATTCTTGACAATTTGTGATCCTTCTTAATGTTGCACGCTGACTTTCAGACTTTGAGACACACTGCAAAACAATGGGATCTAACTGCTCAGCATGTGGCCATGGATGCAGTCTCACTTCCTGCTCTGAAATGCAGGCGCAGGGCTGAAATAAAGCTCTGCCTACAGACTAAAACTCTATGTTTTGATAGTGACATGCAAGTTCTTAAATTAAAAATTCAACTCATGATAAATCTAAGTCTTTCAACTTCACTTTAAAAGAAATCAAAAAGATCTTTTAAAAAACAACATTTAAACAAAAAAAAATTAAGTATTTTCACATGTGGAAATGTATGGGTTGAGGTTTGGGACAGCCACCTCCCAACAAAAAGTACCGCACAAATGATGATTTTGTATATATTTCGCTTATTATTCTTACTCTTATTCTTATTCTTCTAATTATTACATAAGCTCAATTAATGCCTTGGGTTTAAATATATCATAGGATAATTCTTGTAAATATAAGGTCTGAAAACTTCAGTGTTTCAAATGTGGGAACTAATTTGGTAGAATGGTCCATATATGTCACGTTATTGCAACTGATACAGTTGTTAAGGACAAGAAAGTGTAAAGGTTGCTTTTTTTAGTCCTTTAAGAAATGGTCATTTATTGTAGTGGCATTCAATTTATATCTCATCCAACAAAGCCCGACACTCTTGAGAGCACACATACAGTCCTACAGCTGTCGCACATCTGCTGCTGCATGACAAGAGAAAGTTTTACTGTCATTGTGCGTCTGATAAGTTGGATGACAGATGAAAACCTTGCTCAGACTGCCTGCTATAAATAGCATATTACTTTGCATTCATCCTGATATTTAGCCACATTTATTGCAGGTAATAAAAGCATGGTGTGATGTATTTCTCTTCCATTGCGTAATGAAACTCTATAGATATTATGTTGAAAGTGTGAATTTTCAGCTTTTAGTCAAGGGCACATTTATGTTTTTAAGTACAAACTCAGTTCCAAAAAAGCTGGGACAGTTGGTAAAATACAAATAAAAATAGAAAGCAGTGATTTGTTAATCCACTTCGACCTGTATTCAAATTAAAACTGTACAAAGATCAGATATTCAACATTTTATCTTGTTAAATTCATTGTTTTTGGTAAATATGTGCTCATTCTGGAACACATTCCAAAAAAGGTTGGGACATGGGCAATTTAAACGAAAACATTTTGAAATGATCAGACAACATTTTACAAGATGTGATGGAATCATGCTCAGATATAAAAGAAGAATCCAGATAAGGCCAAGTCCTTTATGATCCAGGACAGATCAAGGCTTGTCACTTTGCCAAAAAATGCATCTGCAAATAGTCAAGCATTTGCAAGGATTATCAGTATTTGTCCCTCTACTGTGCATAATATTATCAAAGGAATCAGGGAAAAACCCAGCACTGCATTGAAAACCAACATGCTTCTCTGATGAATATGACCAGATGGGCTCAGGAATACTTTGACAAACTGACAAAATCAACAAATGCAGGATAAGACTTTATTATGCCCAGTGGAAGCCAGTGAAACAACGCCGACTTCTCTGGGCTCGAGCTCATCTGAAAGGGACTGATACACAGTGGAAATGTGCTTTGTGGTCTGACATGTCAACCTTTCAGATTGTTTATGGAAATAATGGAAGTCATGTTCTCTGGGCCAATGAATTAATGGACCATCCAGATTGTTACCAGCGTAAAGTACAAAAGCCAGAGTCTGTCATGGTATTACTGGGCACCCTGCACATCTGTGAATCTACATTTTTGCCACTTCTTGACATTGAAACTAACAGAAAAAGACGTGCAGACCAGAAGCTGTTGAAAAAGAATTCAAATGAAATGTAAATGTAATTCATTGCATAACTCACTCTGTTATGTAATTATGTTTGAAAAGCATTGCAAAACATGAGTAATAACTCTTGACAGCTAAGGATTAACCCACAGTAAGAATATACGAATGCAGGACGATGGCCAACTCTAATAATACATAATAATCATTTTGTTAGATTATTTGTCATTGATTCAAAAAGACAGCAGGAAGATAAACAGGTCCTTGTGTGGCTTATGAAAGAGGAAAAAAAGCTTATTTCCTAGAGATCAATGAGCCTTGATGAATTATGCATTATGTATTCTTTTCTTGCCAATGCTGAGATCCATAGGGTGCAGGACACATTCAACCAAGTGAGGAATGAGTAAGTACACAACCCAGTGGAGTTATTAGTGTGGTAATGCTCCCCAGTGGCTATGATACGAGGATATGAGGGAAAAATTCATTAGGTGGGGAAGGGAAAAGGGCCATTGACAAAATCACCGCACCTCAGGCCACCAGAGAATCAGATTCTCAACCGGACTTAAAAGCAATCCCTATTATATACACTTTCCATTAGAGCTATCGCAGAGTATGGCTGGAGTCAGAAACGCATTGATTAAGGCGACCACTGCGATTCATTATATCATCTAAGTGGAGCCGAGGGGGAAAAAGAAGCTCTGAAACCATCTTTTTTTCCCTCCTCCTCACATTGGAGAGTGAAAATGTAATTTTCAGGCAGATGGAGTGCGTGAATGATGCACTGTATGGGGTGAGGGGAGGCTGAAAAATAGAGTGGCTACTGACTGTCAGAGCGAGAGCATGGAAATTCATTCATTGATTTATTTTCATTAGATATGGTTTTGTTTGGCACCTCTAGTCTCCGCCTGCCGGGCCGTTATCACATTTGATTTAATGTAAAGCGGACAGTTTCCTGCGAGATGGAAAGGGAAATGTCATCAATGGCTCTGCACTCCACTGTAATTAACTACAGAGACTGCAGAACGACGCTTCTCCAGGCGGTTTCTTTGTCTCCTTCTGGACGCAGTGACAACAGCTTTTTGTTTTGTTTTCCTTCACTTCAGCTCGGTTTCGTGCTGATGTTTTGCTGCGCTCAATTTCAGCCAGAATGTCAAGCCTGCATCCACTTTATAGATTAAAATGCTACTGGAAGCTGCTGTTTATTTCAGTGGTCATCGGTTCACAGTAGCTGAAGGGAGGCAGACATGCACCAGACCCTGATGTCAGTAGGTTCTTTTGGCTTGACCATTGATTTGAAGCTGAATTTTCGCTTATCATTAATGTACACTCTTAGATAAATAAAGGTTCCTAAGTGGTTCTGGGCTTGGACATATGGTTCTCAGAAAAATCTTGGTAAAACTTTAGAATAATAGGCGTCTATAAACAGTGAATTAACCATTATCAAATTGTTAATGATCATTAATAATTATACGATTGTTTATTGTTATTTTACTTACTGATATGTAAATAACTAAAGTACTTTTCATAAATGTAGTATAAAAATAATAACATTATGACCACCTCCTTGTTTCTATGCTCATTGTCCATTTCATCAGCTCCACTTACTATATAGGTGCACTTTGTAGATCTACAGTTACAGACTGTAGTCCATCTGTTTCTCTGCATACTTTGTTAGCCCCCTTTTACCCTGTTCTTCAGTGGTCAG